GATTGTCTCTTCGTCCATGTACAGGTTCTTCATGAGCACAATTAAGTGTTCTGGAATTCCCATTCTTCACAGTGTTATCCATAATTTGTTATGATCCACATAGTCAACAAACCACAGGGAAACATCTCTGGTTTACTTTCTGGAACATCAGTTTAAGGAAGCTTAAATGCAAAGGTATGGTGCCTAAGCATAGGAGAAGATTGGATGGCTCTCCTCATCCCTGGGAGCAATCCTAGAGCTCACATACCAAAGGACTGAAAGAAGATGTGGCTCTCAGCATCTAAAGACTAGGCCGTTCTCCTGCTCTCTCCTTCTTCCTCCACTTCCACTCAATTAAAGTACAATGTTCGCATGCTGGAGTCACAGGTAGAGAAGTCAGCTCTGACCAGAATGACCAATTTGTCTAGTTTCCCTGGGAATTTCCAAGTTTTAGCAGTGAAAGCCTCATGTGCCAGGAAACTCCTCACTCCTGGGCAAACTAGAATAGTTAGTCACCCTAGCTCTGACATGAACATTTCTCCTTGTAAACTCTATAAGGACCTTGGTGATTAATTGAATTTTGTAGTAAATCCATTGAATAAAATTTTTAAGCCAGGAGAAGTCAACCGTCTTAACTTATGGAAATTTCACCATTTCAGGGACCTGAGTTAGGCTTGCGTCCATGAGACCTGAATAGAAACACATGGAATGTAATAGTTGTGATGGCACTGTGTGTGAGAAAGAGTAAGCTTCTCAACCACCCTGCTCAGGGTTGGAGTCGTGGTCAGCACTTAGTTGCTGTGTGGTCTTGGACAAATTATTTATTGTCTCTAAATCCCAGTTTCTCATATATAAAGTAGGGATAACCATACCAGCCACAAAGAATTGTTGTCAAGATGAAATTAGATATGCTGTCTAAAGTTCTTAATGTAGAATCTAGAGTATGTTGTTGTTGTTGTTGTTAGGTGCCATTAAGTCGATTCTGACTCATAGTGACCCTGTGTACAACAGAACGAAACACTGCCCGGTCGTGCACCATCCTTATAATCGTTGCTATGTTTGAGCCCATTGTTGCAGGAGCCTGAGCATGAAGGGTTTTTGGAAGCAACGTGAAGGAGAATAAACTTTATCCAGAAGGCAGGCAGACATTAAAGTGTTGTCATCAGGAATGAAAATATAGTCTGTGTTTCAGATACCTCTGTAGGGTGAGTGGAGAGTACACTGGAAGAAGTCAAGGTAACCCCTTCCTAGAAAACAAAAACCACATCAGCAAGCACAACTCACTCCCAGAGCGCTCACTTGAGGATGAGAAATACCAGATTGACTCCTTGTGACGGCTCCACTTGGATGGTCCAGTGGACCCGAGAGAGTTGTTTGTTTGGCCGGAAGTATCTGTGAGGAGGCCCCCGCATTTACCAGGCCCTGCAACCAGTGGAAAGGAAGCTGAGGGACTCCAGGGCAGCTCCAGGCCAGTGAGGGCTTTGCCATTCCCAGAGTACCCA